TCATGAAATATAATTGAGTTCTTACAGAGTATAATTTTTGCATGCAGCCGGAAATAAGTTCATTCAAAAGCCGGCATCCTGAGGTAGCTGACCTATTGTAGCATTATGCTGCATGATGACTAGTTTTACAACTCTATTTAATTAATCTTTTTGAAACGAAAATGCATTTCGAAATTTCGGTTGACATTTCATGAGTTAGCTCACCTACTGTAAGACGATAGTTTGATAAGAAATAATTAATTAGAAACTTTTAAAACCTAATTATACTCCTTCCTTAAGTATAAAATATAAAGGCGTGATTCTCTATTCAGTGACTAAAAGAAAGCATATTTTTGTTTATGGTTTTTATAAAATATATTTGAATTTCCAAGACCATCGAAAATCAGTGGGAAAAATGCATGCTACTTAAGTAGTCATTTTTACCGAACACGCTTTCTACAGGAGATTGAAAAGAAGTGCATTTAAAAGCCGACATCCTGCCGAGTCCGAAATGTTATAAGAGTATGCCTTAAGATAATCAGTATTACAACCGCGACCAAGTAATCCTTCCTAATCGAAAAAGCATTTCAGAATTTCAGCCAACATTTCATGAGATAGTTCACGCACTGTACTGTACAGAGTGTACGGTCATCAGCCAGCTGTCACTGAACTTTCGCGTGATTGGCTGCTGCAGCCCGACCGCGGATATTTCAGCGGCTGTCGCTATCCGCCTCTTTCCGTCACTACGATGCTACTTTTGCCGCGAAAGCTGACAAGCGTTTGGAATTTGAATCGCGAAATTTTCCTAGTCTTGCTGTTCCCTGCAGTGTCCGCACATGTAAATGCCTCAACCACCTCTCCCACCGTCCCAGGTGGTCCGATACGTCGGCGAGGAACATTCCCGTTTCTGTAATCTCACCTTTGTTTCGCCAGTTATTTCTGAAAACTCGTCTCTTTGCCCGTGTCAGCTGACGATTATATCCCCAGCTTCCGGCGTCGCACAATCGACACGGAAATCTAGTCTGCGTTTGCATTACAACAACGACGTCCGGAAGAAGAGGGCTGACCTGTTGATGAATAAGATAAATGTGATGAGGACTTCGGCAGCATCGACGGTGCCCCCTCTAGTCTCTTCCGTCTCCCATCACGCCGACGAGATCGGTGGCGACTGACGGGGAACCTCGTTTCCGCCTGTCGGGTTACATACGCACGCACGCACATTTACTCCTGGACTAATACGAATAAAATTTCCCTTCGTCCACTATCATATCGCCGAGAGTCTTCGTTCGGTTACAAAAAGGAGTCATTGTGACCTGGCGTGCAGTCTCGCGGATCACGTTATTTCCCCAACTTGTACCCCATTAAGCCGCATATTTTGAGCAGACGCGATGACTCAACGCCAGGCTCAATAGGGAGAAGGAAAGTTTCCGGAGGACCTCTCTCTCCTTTCCTTTCTCCATAGTGCACCAGCGGCAAGAATTCATCCAAACACCTGTTGACAACATCCAAAAACAATGGTTGGCAAAAAAATTTGACCTTGTCTCTGGTATTCCACACAAAATGCCTGCCGCCCCCCCGTAACGACGTTGCCTTTTTGGCGGGCGCAGGAGTCCTACTGTAGCGGCCGAGGACGTCAAGGGTAGCACACACCAAAGTAAGGAAACGCAGAGGAGTGATCCTGGCGGAGGTTGATCTGAACAGAACTGTTAGCATCTCTTAAATACTCATTCACAAGCAGGAGAAGAAGGTATAGCAAGTAAGAGATATGGTATAATATAACGACATGGGTGCGGAAAAGGTGAATAATGAATGCTAGTGTACACGCAGAATGAGAAACTGCAAACAGATGGCCTGTCAGGATGGATACGTGACCCTAAGCAGCCGTTGGGGATGCAGCGCTATGGGCAACTGCAGGGAAGGGCCGAGGAGGGAGCCGACGTCGAGTGTGAGAGAGACGAGAGCGACGGTGCGTTGCGGGAGGAGGGGGGTGTCGGCGGTAACGAGAGGAAGGGACACCGGCCGTCTTCACCAGCACGCAGTTACAACATCTCCATTACAGGTCCGCGCCAAAAGTGTTGCACCATTCAAACAACCCTTTCAGGTGAAGGGGCGTTATACTACCTCATGCCACGTTCCTGATGTGTGCACTCTTAAACCGACTTTGAGCGTTCCGGCAGCGCAGTCCAGACGTGGATGTCGCCGCAGGCGTGCGGCAATTGCGCCACTCAAATTCACACAAACTCTCCAAGTAATACAGCCCCGTACCTCAGCCCTTGGCAGGTCATTCTGTTTTGTTTGCGCAAGTGGATTGCGTTAGACGTCGTAACATCCGCATCAACATAGACCTTTTCGATGCATGGCTTAGAGGGTTAAACATCCCGCAATCGCAGGTGGCAGCCGAACACTGCCAACTGCCTAAAAGACAATCGCACTGTTCAACCGTTGCTAACGACAATGTTCGCCGTGCATCACCCGGCACGGTGGATACGGAACGGTGACTTGCATGTGAAGAAGTTTGTGGTGATAGGGGATTTGCGTACTATTTGCCACAGCTTCATCTGGGTCCGATGACATGAGGAGCGGGACGACCAGAGGAGGCTCGGGCTCAGTGGCCGACTACGCGTGCCACACGCGTGCCAATCGCACAATGGAGCAGGTTTACACAGGAAAGGTCGGTTCGGATCCGACCTCAGTAAGAATGCCAAGGAGGCTCTGTCGGGGTAAGACAGAGATTCCCAAATCAGAAGTCAGTGAAGGCGGATTGGATTGGATAACTTTTACTGCTTGGGAAGTGTGTACACAAGGGCTCTGCAAGCAGTCGCCACGAGCGGTCTCTCTATGCAAGTTGTATTGCCTGTATCCGCCGTCGAGGTGTCTAGGCCACAGCGCGTGTGTGCGCCCTTCGGTCTGCTACCAGCCAATCACAGAAAGGCGATGTGAATTGGCCTCGAGCACTCGCGATGCTAGTGACAAGCTTCGCGCGTCGCAGCAGTGGATCGATAGGGAATGTGAAGCGGACAGGAGGGCACCGTGACAAGGTGGCGGAGAGCAAGGAGGCGCGGACTGCTACAGCCACATTCAGCGGGGGTGACTGGAGCTGTCACTCAGTACACTAGCCTGTCACCCCACATACACACTACTGACGACGCGAACCGACCCACCCTGTCAGCTGACAATCCTTCAAGCTACAACCTTTAGCTTGTTGGACTTATCACAGTGACCAGTGTGCGGATATTCCTTGGGGAGGGAGGTTCTCCAGTATCAAATCTACTCCCGACACCGCGAATGGATCCATTGCCGTCGACAGTCAAGGAATTTCTTAACTTATCCCCGTCTACATAGGCAAACGTCAGGAATGAGCATAACGGTTGGGCCCGGACAGCTAGGGTCAGGAGGGTTAACGTTAGGGTTCAGAGGGAGTAGGGATAAGAGGGTTAGTGTTGGGTGTGAAGTGAGGGCGCACGAATAGGTATCACCTGAAATTTGGGGCGGGGCGACCAGTAGTAGGGGGCGGGGTTGGTTGTTATTTTCCTTTTTGGCCGACCGCATCAACATGCGGCAGTCGGTCTATTTGTTTTCACGATCGCTGATATCTGGTTAGCTATGGTCGGCAGGTTGTACTTAGGAACCGCGTTCTCCTGGGTGAGATGCAGTACTGCAGAGAACCTTCAATTTGTTATAATAGACTAAATTAATGGGCATTTTTTGAAATAACGAAGTAGGCCGATTATAAGACAGTCGTGCTGTCTTCGGCTACTGCCTTCCTCTCGTGGAGAACTTTAGGCTAAAAGTTCTCATAGCTTCCACAAGTAGAAACTGGATCAGACCGCGGACTCCCAAATTAGCGCGCAGTTCTTTGCTGCCCAGTGAATTAGCTATTATTCCCTTGAGGTTACAGTCTGTACGCACGAGACTTGCTTTGATACCTCAATGAAACAGTCACTCAGACCGGTGCACACCTACTTCCCCTCAACTAAACTGAACTGAACAGAACAGCACAATACCGACAGGACGCGAAAGGGTTGAGAGGCCAGATCCGTATGGAGGGTGGGCAAAAACTGGAGGGACTTGATCAGCACTGTCTGAGGGCCATCCTTTCAGTGAAACATACCGACGTCGTCTCAAATGAGGCAGTCCGCACTTCCTGCAACAGGATCATGAGGATGTCACCCAGGACAGATGACTGAGGTGGTTTGGGCGCGACCCTCGTCGTCCGCCTTACAAGCTCAGTTTTACTGCACTCGATCTGACCAGCCTGGAGGTGTTGAAGAGGAGGCCAACTCGAAATCTGACTGGACACAGTTCGAGCTACTTCAACTCGGACGCAAGGGCGTCCCCGGAGTCGTAGCTATCGAGGCGCCACTTGAGCACACCACTCCCCTGCGAATGCAATACAAGTCACTTTGTAACGACCCCTCGACAGATGCAACACACACCAACTGGGCACTACTTCAGATTGCCCCACAAGCCTACAAAAGCAGCTGTCATCATTGTTTCACGGGCATGACAGGACGCAGTCAACTCCAGCCCTGTATTCGATCGTGGCCAGTGCCGCCTAAGAGGACAACTCACACTGTTCTAATCAGAAGAAGAAGCGATCGCTGGAACAAGGGCTTTACTCGCCTGACGTTTCGGATTCTCACTTGAACCCATCATCAGAGACAGTGGCAGAAAAGGGTGACTCGTGCACAGGAAGTTGCAGTATTTATAGGATGCAATAGCTATGCTACCACATACCTATATCAATTAACCGAGCTCCCCTTCATCAAGGATTGTTGCCCGCTGGTGCGCTAATGGCTTGATGGTCGGCATGCGAGTTGTTAATTGCTGAAATCTCATCACCCGTGTTGGATGCTGGTGTGATGATTGCTCGGCCATCTGGCTCACCGGCTTGCGCGCTCCCCGAGTGGTCTATTACCTTGGCCAGCCTATGCCTCAGCACGGAATATGGAGTGGGGATGTGGTTGCACTTGTTGATAGCCGGAGGTCCCGTGAATCATGACTTAAGCAACTCGCGGCTCATGCGATTATCCCCCTCTTGCGAGAATTTCGGCTTCATCGAATTTGAATGTGTTGCCGAATCTCGTCGAATGGACCGCGACCTGAGAGTTGGCGTAGTTTCTCCGTACCGTTGCCGCGTGTCCGGTAATTCGCGTCCGGAGCAGTCTTCCAGTTTCTCCGACGTAGTTGCTTTGTCCGCAGCTGCACCAGATCCGGTAAATAACTCCAGATGTTTCTTGCCGTGGCAGTGGGTCTTTTGGTCTCATCACCTGGCGCCGCATGGTGGCCTCCGGTCTGTGTGCAACTCCAAATCCAAGTGGTGCAAGAAGGTGACTAACGGCCTCGGAGACGTTCTTGATGTACGGGATCGCTCGCCAGAATTGGGGGTCGGCACGATTTTGTCGCTCGTCTCGTTTGCGCATGTACCGGCTGGCCAAAGTAATTGGCCACTCGAGGAGCGTGCAAGCCGGTGAGCTGGATGCTGGCGTGATGATTGATGGATTCGAGTGGCAATCCGAAACGTCGGGCCAACAAACGTCTTGTTCCCGCGACCGCACTTTCTTCTTCTGAATGATTTGATGGTCGGAAGCGACGTCGTCCACTGAGTGCCTTATGGAATGGTTTCAGCAACGGTGACTTGCACGTGAGATAGTTTATAATCAGGCAGACTTGCGCAGCATCAACCACACCTTCCCATCTCTCACGCACCTTGCTCCGGTGACACAACAACGTCAAGGCGACCTGGCGCGGACGCCGGCACAGCGAGCGACAAATCTAGACAGCCCACCTACGCGCGCCACGCCCGGTTTTCTCGTAATTGCATGCACCCGGTTCCCGCATCGTAGATCGGCTTTCAACGCCTGCAGGTGGCAACATCTCAACCGTCTAACAAAAAGGCCTGCCGACCTTTGCCTGAACGAAAGTTATGACTTCCTAGTCACACAGAAGCTCAAAGAGGGAGGATGAAACTACAGGTGACAGATGTCTCACGGTTGCACCAAGCTCGATTAACCAGCGCAATGCACGAGTCAAAAAGGAAGATCCCAAAGCCATCAGGGAGATCATTTGCCACCAACACATAGCTCAAGAGGTTGCACGTGAGGCTGGTCTGCCTGCGATGCAAATCCCAACAAATAAACCGTCGCAAACTACAAAGTAAACGTACATGCGAGTTTTATTAAGGAGACGCCCAAATAGCGGCACAGCTAGTCGGGCATTTAGACTAAATATGGATCCTACCTACGCCCAGCATTTGGCTCGACGGCTTTAAGTCAGAATTCGCACAACCTCCTGGAAAGAGCCGCGAGAAGTCAGTCTCCTCGCTCCGCTGCGTTGCATTGCGAAGAAGACGGAGGAGTGGGAGGGGCTGGGGGAGGAGGAGGGGGAGGGGAAGGATGAGGATAGTAAAGGGACTAAAGGAAGAGGCCAGAGAGGAGGACGGGCTATTCCCGGGGGAAAATTTATCGATCACGAGAGGACGGGGTAACCAAAAACGAGGAACCCCTTCGTATCTCGACTGCCAGCACCTCTCTACTAGAGGAAAACAGCGCAATGGGACCGACTGTGGATAAACCAAGATTCAAAACGACAAACGCACGCGTTCCATTCTACAGTACCGGCAGATCTGTGAGCGTTATCCACACGGGGGTCTGGATATACCCGAGCACAGCCGTCGTAGCGCGAGTACGTGGTCGCGACCAAACCTTTGTTTTCGTCGACATTCTGCGGTTTACACCATTACCTTGGCAAAACCGTAAACATTTGTGCATGCAGACGTGTTAAAGTTCGCCTAGAGGTTTGCGAACGAAGCGATAAAAGACGTGGCTTGGACGGTTGCCAACTGACGATATAATACGATTCTGAAATGACGAGTATTTCGAAGTGGCTGGGGGATTAAGGGTCGGACTGCAGTGCCTCCTTCTCAATGTGGCCTAGTGATGTGAGGTCCGGTTTCGTGTGTCGACATTGGTGAGTAGGAGTGATGGTCTTAGTAGGTTGCCCACTTGCTTGCAGATGTTGACTAAGCGCCTAGCGTCCATTAACTGGCACCCAACTCTCACTTGTGGCTCCTCAAATCTAGGCTACGCCTGGCGGCCACACCTCCCATAACTGCCTCAGCCGGGGGGCCAAACCAGGTGAGGGTATCCGAGTGGGTATCGGCATACATATGGCAACTCTACTCCCCTTCCACCACCGCTGATCGGACGGATCACCATTTAGTCATTTCCACGACAAGGCTCCGTCTGCAACCCCGCCGGAGGCCACACGGTAAGCGTCCCTTGGGTAAGCTGAATGCCGCTTTGTCTTTGTCCGCGCACCGTTTCAGCAACCAAATTACCCAGCGGCTGAAAGACCTACCAGCTGAAAGTGGAAACGACCCCGTCTACAACTCTGCAGATGGCCACAAGGAAAGTGATCACCAGGCAAACTCAATACCGTTCTGCTAAATACCGTACTGTTGAATTTGCCTGCTCACCGTCTGGATTACAGCAATCAGTTAACCCAGAGAGAGAAAGGAAGCTCTTTCTACCCTTCCCTCAACTTCGTGCATTTCACCCCCATTTCAAAAAGTACTAAGGAGAGGACAACACGCAATCTCATAGACGGCCCAGGCTAACTGGGGTCATTATCCCACCAAACACAGCCGTGACCTATAGGGGAGTCCGGCAGCCGTCTGGGATGTCTAAGCAGACCTACTTAGAGACATTACCTACCACCGCGAGGGGAACGGGGCTAGAAAAGGTGTCCTAAAGAAATGCTGGGATCACGTCCTCTGCGTGCTGACCGCCGCTTGCAGATGCAAAACTTGCAATCAAAACCACCAAGCACGATACAATGCTCTTTCCCATCCCCCTCTTCCTCCACTTCAGACGCTGCTAGAGGGGATCAGCTCACCCTGGCAGCCTGGAATGTTGGTTCCCTTTTAGAAAATACCAGGAGTGATCGATTGGAACGGAGGACAGCGTTAGTCGCTCGGTCATCGATGGGCTACGAGGTGGATATCATTGGATTCGATTCTCCAAACAAAGGCAACTGGAAGAGGTGGGTGCCGGCTACACCTTCTTCTGGAACGGTCGCCCCAATGCAGAACGACGAAACGCGGGCGTCGCCTTCGCTATCCGGAACGATGGTGTAAAACGACTGTCCTGTCTGCCGCAGGGTATCAACGATCGCCTGCTGAGCCTCCTCCTGCCTCCCCAGGGAGGCAAATTAGCCACCGTCGCCAGCGTCTACGCTCCCCTGATGACCAGCCCTGAAACAACAAGGAACAAATTCTACGAGTGCCTGCACGTCCTCTTGGCGACTGTGTCGAAGGCGGATATGTTGATTGTTCTTGGTGACATCAACACCCGCGTCGGCACAGACCATGCTGACTGGAGAGGAGTGCTGGGTTAACATGGTGTCGACGGCTTCAAAGGCAATGGCCTGCTCCTCCTATGAACATGTGCAGAACACCGCCTCATCCTGACCAACAACTTCCTCCACCTTCCGACGCGAGAGAAGGCCACCTGGATGCACCCTCGGCCGCGTCAGTGGCACATGCTGGACTATGTCCTCGTCTGGAGGCGAGATCAGCGGGACAAAGGCGATCGCTTGCGCTGACGGGTGGACCGACCGTCGCCTCGTCATCTCGAAGATGCGTATTCGCCTACAGCCTCGCAGGAGACCACAAGATAAGCGACCACCACTTGGCGAATTTACCTGCTCACCATCTAAATTTCAGCTAACTCAGTGACTAGCCAACCTTCCAGTCGTCAGCATCGCTGCCGTAGACGAGAACGCATCCGTGGAGAACCGATAGTGCCAACTGAGGTATGCGGTCCAGTCGAACGACCTGGCTGTCCTCGGTCGCGCACGTCGCCAACACCAGGATTGGTTTGATGACGACGCCGACATCAGCAATCTGCTCGCCGAGAAGAATCGACTTCACAGGGCCTGCATCGACCGCCCTACCGACGACAACAAAGCAGCCTTCTTCCGTAGTTGCCCCCTTGTGTAACAGCAGCTGCGGGTGGCCGGGACGGCCGGCAAGGCCGAGGAGATCCAAGGATACGCAGA